ATATATATAATACATACAATAGCATGATACAGAGGTCAACAGAAGAGTTTAGTTCAGAATGGCCTCAGTCCGATGGCGATGGAACGGGACGTGTTATTAGAAACTGACCAAACAGACAGAAAACGTTCATCTGAGGAATTTGAAAGATCGCTTTGTTGCAGAAAAGATATAATAAAATTCCATAATAAAATAATATATCTCCCTTATTGTTAAGAATAATGCAATACCATTTGACGTCTCCAACATAGACTTGAATCATAGCATCCTATACTGGGCACTGTCACTGTCATCGCTCTCTGTTCTCCAGGAAAAACTCGATGAGCTGACGCGCACTATAGACGCCCAAACGAAGGACAACTTAATCTTGTTTCGTTATAGGCGAATGCGTGCGCAACCTTTCCGTTTTTTTACACCCTTCATTTGGTTCGCAAAAGAGTAAATTGGTGTGCACATTGATGATCCAGAATTACGTCAGACTGCGCAGTCTAGGATATTATAAAATATATCTATGGTTTTCACAAAAAGTCCCATAGCATGACGTCAGCCACTGTGAGCTAAACACTTCTTGCAAATGAAAGAAACATCATCAATTATTCATTCAGAACAAACAATAAACCAGAGCACGTGAAAAACTCATGTATCTAAAATCTCGGCACAATGCAGCATTTCAATCCTGTAAAAGAGTTGCAGAAGAAATGTCGAATCTAATTATTACGACCAATCGTCAAGCATAGCAACGACAAAAGACAAATTAGGTTATTTCCTTACAGTATTTTGCTTCAGATGACAACCAAGCACTAATTAATCATGATAACAGATCGGTTCCTTCCGAAACACTGGCATGCACAGACGAACCCGTAAAGTCACACAGTGGTGCTGATAAGAAAAGGTATCTTCATGTGGTCGAAAGTGGACGTTTACCGACAAAAAGTTCTTTTTATATCCTTCTCAAAAACAAACTTTCTAAAAGTTTTAATTTTTAGACCTACCCTTGTTTTCAACATTTGCTATTCATTTTGGTGATGAACACAAGCGCATCTCATTTCAAAGCTTTTTCACACTTTGTGATTGGTTTCAAGAATGGGAACGCTGACTTGAGACTTCAGCACAATCAATCAATCAACCCGCTTCGGAACCTTCAACTTATTTATCTACTCCCAACGTCGTTTCTCGATTCTGTAGAAGAAGAGTTCCTTCTTCAGTACCCCCC